GAGAACGAGCGAAATAAAGAGGCCGAGACAGAGACCGCTTCTGTCACCAAAAGGGATGGCAGCGACACGGGATCTGCCTCAGGCTCCGAGGAAAGTTGATTTGCTCTTGACATTTAGAGCCGCTGTCGGGCAAGTTTCTTGAGATTCGGGCTGAGCTGCAAAATGGCTTTCCTTTCTCGCTTGACATCATGTCGTGGTAGTTGCAGCTGAGATTTTGGAACCTTTTCCAATGTGTTGGATACGGGATCATGTTTAAACTTCTTTTGGATGACCAGCAAGTTTAAAGCAGAACTACTGGTTCGGTCATTTCCTTTCAAGCCTTTGCCCCATCCCAATTCACAACACAGAACGGACCAGGAGATGTACTTGCAATCGAAGGAACCTCGAAGCTACACAAACTGAGTGTGAAAGACTGTGCATACATACATTTAGCAACCAATTTCTTTCTGTGCAGCCAGGCTCGCCCACAACCAATAGGCCCTGTGTTGTTCGCCGTCGCCTGCAACACCTTTGACAAGCAGGAATGTGAAAACACCATAGGGCTTGCCAAAACTGTTTTGCATCATCATGGAAGCGTCGCATGGTCTTGAAAAGAACAGAACAAAGCTGATCCAAAGCCACACCCCCCAGAAAAGAACGAGATGAAAGTGAACATTCTCAGCCATACAGATCTTCGCGATCAGGATTGAATTGGTGCCTGTACCAGACCGTGCTTAACCGCGTAATATAAACTAGTCAAGCCCAAGTGGTTTGTGACTTCAGTTGGTCACATACTGAAGTGTCCTGAAGCAAAGTTGCGTCTGCATTTGTTGCTTCGCGGAAGACCATGGCCGCATGCTGCCTTAGATTGTTGACCATGCAGGGCTACACTAACGTATATCAGTAGCCTGCGCCACTTGCCACTGTTCACCGACCGACCTCGTGGCTACAAGACTGGACTGATCAGCTACGCGAGCTTCGACCAACCGAATCCAAGGTTGCCTAGCCCGCCTAGCCAGAACATTCTTTTTGTTAGCGTTGCCGAATCTGATCTGTTGACGGTCGATTTGCTCCATTCTCCACTGACCATGAATGGCAGGGCCTGTTGTTTGGTCCACGTCATCGTAGTTTGGGCATCGTAGCGTTGAGCGCCAGGAACAATTTTGTTCAAAGGACGGAGCTGCAACTCAAAACTATAGAGTCCAAAGAACATGTCTGCATAGGTCTAACTTTCTCACAAAGCGTTTCGTGGCTTGATGCCTTCAGCTTGGCAGTGCAGTGATTGACGGATTTGGCCGGATCTTCTGGTTTATGCCATATGCGTGGGACGTACAAGCTGACACTTGCACTGGCAGGTGTACTGTGGCGCTTTGTTCCGCCTTCGTGAACAAGGCGCGAACACCGAGTCTAACTCAAAGCTCTAGGAGGTCAGGCAAGTCCCCCCCACAAGATTCTATATTGGAGAACTAGTAAAGGTTTGGTTTTTGTTTTCATGCATTGAACTTTTTTTGGAAGTTGGCTGGCTCCAATGATTTCAGACGAGTCTCTTCGGGGAAGCTTGCCAGCCAGTGGGTTGTCGGTTTTCATGGCAGGTGGGGCCTCTAGCCTGGGGTCTTCATGAGGTGGGGGCCACAGCCAGAACATTCCTACCTAGTCACGCTTGCGAATGTAGATTGCATATATGCCAAGAATGCTGTGTTGCACTGGAACTAGAACGACGAACTGTAAATCCAGGGGGGTGGACCGAAACCCATGACCAACGCACCCCGCATGGTGAAAGCTCAAAAGCTGTTGGTTGATTTTTTTTGCTATTCCTTTGAAGGGAACCACCCGAACAGCTTTAAGATGTAAAGCCGTCCTATGGCCTGATGTGATCAGAAACGGGTTGTGTCCGCAGGTCGTGTCCCGGCTGCTTTGGCAATTGCGCCGTGGAGTGAGGGGAAGCCAGTTGGATTTCAGATGGCTTGAGGGAGGATGTGATAAGATCAGAGCTCTGTCAATGTTGGGCCAATGGAAGTAGGTTGGTCACTCGCCATGACTGCCCCACACTGATCCTCGTGATTCGTGACGATATATGTAAAGTGTCAAGGTTGAATCAGACAATCTCCCAAGAGGTCCAGCTGGAATCCACACCTGCCGGATTTACTCCAAGCGAAGTGGAACCAATAAGCTGAACCTAGCGCCCAATCACCCCAAACAGATCAAAACCCACGATCGCCAACGGTTTACCCGCATGCGCGCAAGCGCAAGAGCAAATACAACAAAGCGTTTGCACATGGGTCTTCTGTAGGCCTATGCTTGAGCAAAGGGCAGCAGTTTGTTGAGACTCCGCCGAGTGTCCAGGCTTTTGAGCCCGAGCTTTGTGCGCTGGCTTGCGAGTTTAAAAGGCATATGTAGCCATCATATTACCCACACAAGCGGTGGTTTCCCAGTCATACAACCTGAAAACGAAAAAAAGATTTGACTTTTTTCTGTGCATCCACTAAGAAGCTAGCTTGCCACACATCTCCATTTCTTTTCGGAACAGTTTTCTTGAACCATTCCACCCAACCAGCTACAATCCTCCTAGGCCTAGGCAAAGTGTTGCTATGTACGTGTGTGTTGTTCTCACTTTGTACAAGTCTGTGCATGTGGGCGCAGTGCATGTCTTTTATCCTCAAAATTAATCGGACAGCATCTGCTTCGAAGACATCTGTTGCGCTCCGAAAACATCCGTTTCAACCTGTTTCGCGGCCCTCGACTCCACAAGCTTCAGCTTCGACGAATTTCAAGCTTGGAACTCACCCAACGATCCCAGGAGCGAAATGGTGGCAAGTTGCCCTGTACAGCTCCTTGGCGCGAGGAGGGGGTGTGGTGTTGGGCGCTGCAGCCAGGGGGGACTCATGCATTGGTCGTTGGCCAAGTGTCAAACACTCCTTCGACTTCAGGGAAGTGGGCTTAGTCGAACACTGTGAAACATGACCCATTGGCTGCTTGGTAGCTAATTAAGTAGTTTAATCCTTCAAAGCAGTGATCCCTTTCATCATGTTAGGTCAGGCAACTCTTTAAAACCAACAACACCTTCCTCAGATCTTCTCATGGCAACCCCATGCTTTTCAATCCCTTGGTTTCCATACATATATATATACATATGACAAACTAATATAAATTAATAGAATATAATAGCATACATACAATGTGATATAATATGCTATTGTAACTATAATATAACAACCCCCATCCAAACTTCTGGGACGTCCACGGGAATCTCGCCGAAATCGCGGAGGTTCACACCTTTGGTTTCAGCAGCGACTTGGACTCCAAGCTCCTCGATGCCTTGGCCGCCGGCGGCGGTGGCGGATTTGTCTTCATCCCGGACGCCGGCTTCGTGGGCACGGCTCTGGTGAACTGCACCGCGGGAGCGTTGGCGGCCGGCGGGAGGAATGCCCGGCTGCAGTTGAGCCTGGGAGACGAGGTGGGGAGGATTTTTTTTTTTTTTTTTGATGAGGCGGTTTTTGATGAGGCGACGTCGGAGTGGGTGAGTGATGGTTGTTGTGTTTCCTCCTCTAGGACTCTAGGAGCTGGCAGACACTTGGGGCTTGGCAGACCAGTGGAACATACATGACAGGTGAGATCCACGAGACCAGTGGCGGCCACTAGAAAATTTGGAGGCCCACCACTCACCCAGAAGCTGGAGAATCTCATGAATCTAGGTGAAGTTTGGGTTGTTGGAGAAGATCTAAGCAGATTTTGGTGATCTGGTCCCACCAATCGGTTTCTTCGAACGGAGGTGAGCCTGGAAGGTGTCCTGGGCTACCAGCTGGAGGAGGCTGGGGGAGCTGAGCCGAGGCAGCCGATTTAGGAGAGAAACCATCAACAGAGCCTTTTTGTGCTTCAGGGCCCGGTGAAGGTGATTCAGAAACTTACCCCTATTTGGAGACTAGCGGGATGCTTACTGATCGTTTACTGGACATGTATAGACATGTACCCATGGAGATCTTCATCAAAAAGGTTTCACCAAGACACGCATCCAGTCCAAGACACGCATCTTCCCAAGAGCATCGCCATAGGCTCCAGACCCTCGTCCACCATGGATTCCTCACCACGTCCACATCTCTGATGTCTGTGTGCTCCTTCTGTGCCCCGTGGAGGATGGGAGCCTCGATTTGGGCTCCGTTCAGCTGGGCCAGCGGAAGGACTGCAGGAATTTGGTCGGAGTCGGGGGGACGCCGGGGCGAAGAGGGAAAGACGCCCGAACACATCGGGGAGGTCCGCTTTGGGATTCGCATGGTCAAGTTTTCGGGTCAGACAGGTCTTGCGAGGTCGGTCCATTGGTTTTTGCCTCGTCTTGGAGTTGTGGAACGCGCTTCTTGGACCCCCCGAACGGATGATCTTATGTTGGTCAAAGGCGTAGCGTCGTTGGTCAGCGTCGTGTAGGAGGGTCGTTGGGTTTCCACCCGAGGTTCCTTGGAAGGTACAACTTAGAGGGAACCGATGGGCTTTTTCTCTGATCATTTGGTGTCCCAGCTAGTGGGTTGCACTGGTAGATGTGGTCTTAGAAACATCCGGTCTTTCGAGGGCTCAGGAGACGTTGGCACGTTGGATGAGTCTATAGACCGCTTTGTGGGAGAAGAGTTTCCGAACCAGGTCGGAGACTCTGGCGTGCCCGGTGGGCTTGTTGAGCCCACTATTTGGTCGTCCACACATGCCCAACGAACATAGGGATGCCCTGAAATCACCACTGGCTCAAGTCATGCAGTCCGCAGCATCCGCAGTGGGACAAGGTTGGCCTCCGAGATTTGTTCCTTTGTTCAACAAACGGAGCAATCTAAAATGAACTGTTGATTACAAACACACATCTCCACCACTGTTTTCTCTGTCTAATAGTCTATATAATAGTCAGCACTATATAGTCAGCACTAGTCACCCTTGGCAGAGTGTGGAATTGACTTCAATTCTTGGGCAAAGTTTTGAGTTGGCTCGACTGGTCAAGGCCTCTTGTCCCCAGACCCATCTTGTTGGGACCGTTCCATGTCGCCGACATGTGGCGGCTCTTTCTGCAGCGCTGCGAGCGCGAACGCGAGAGGGACACCGTGGCGGTGATCGATGGCGAAGGGAAGACGAGCTTCCAGGCGCGGAAGGGTTCGATGGTGCGAATCACCACCGGAGCACCTGAACACCTTCTCTTGGCTCCGGAGCGGTTTTCGCGGTTTTGCTTCGTGTGCCAACATCGGTTTGTCTTCTTGCTCCAGAGACCTTCGTAGAAGCCTCTGGCTGGCTGGTGGGAGACCAGTCACTATGAACCCCAGATTCCTTCTGACTCAGACTCCCTACCCTGAGGATTCCTTCCCCTCACTGCAGGAGCTCCAGCGCCGTGTGGAGGCCTTAGCGGCTCGGATCCCCCACGCGACGGTGATGCCGCAGCGAGCGCAGCGAAACCTGGGCGTTTGCTTTGAGAGGACCCGAGGGGTGGCCGCAGTGAACGCCCACCGGGAAGGGATTTTTTGACCCACCGCAGGGGCGAACGACTGGTACCCCACGATGGAGCGAACGACTCGTCTACCGTCGGTTAGGTCAACGAACGTCGGTATCCTGCGGTATCCGTCGGTTTGACCCACAGCCACATGGATGAGATGGATCTCTCTCACAGGCCCGTGAGGCCATGAAGTCTGTCGTTGGACAAAAGGCTTTGCATCTTCGGTTCCCTCGGAACACGAAGCACGAGGACCTCGGTCTCGGCCGTGGTGGCGCTGTTGTCGGCCATCCGCCAACAGCGCCCCTGCGTGCCGCTGCCCGCGCGGCTGGGCGACTGCGTGGGCCTGGGGCGAGAGCGGCTGAAGGATCTGATGGGCTTGGCGAAGCTGGGAGCAGTGCTTTGCAGCCAGCAGACCTTCATGCAGGTGGGAAATCGGAGAAGTGAATGAAGGTGACCTCTACTTACAAGGAAAATCACTTGGAAGCTGATAGAAAATGCAACTGTAACAGACACTGTGGCGTGTTTGACAGGGTGTTTCCAGTTTGCTCCGGCAGTGGCCTCGCGATGTTGCGTACCCCAAAGAACTTCCCAAGCCATTGGAAATATTGAGTGACGCTAGTCACTCCAGTCTTCTAAGTGACCTTCAGCACGCTGCCTGACTCACAGCGTTTTCCTTTGTGCCGAAGCCCCTTCCGCGGATGTTGAGGTTCTCAACTCTTGGCCTGGGAGAAGGGAGGATGTTCTCGATGTCGAGAACACGCCTGACACGCCTGTGCCTGTGCCACATCACGCGCCCGACCACGTGGAGGAAGTGCCGTGGTGTTCCACGGAGCCCGGTCTTCCGCGGCTCTATGTGATCTTCACCTCGGGCTCGACGGGGCGACCGAAGGCAGGTCCAGAAAAAGGAAAAAACATCTGCAATAAATCCTCTGAAGTATGAGAAGACGTCTGAAGATTTTTGCATGGCCATGGCGGATGTTTCGCTTCACTCACCTCTCTTCCGGATTCCGAAGCATTCTCTTCCCACTTCAGCTCCCAAGCTTTTCTTTCGCCCTGGCCCTGCTCAAAACCGAGGGTGTGGAGGGCTTGGAGAGCGGATGTTTGAACCGGCTTTGGTGGCAGTGGCGCTGCTTCCCCTGGGCGCCGGGCGAGGTCTGCTGCGCCCACACCGCGCTGAGCTTCGTGGACCACGTGGCCGAGCTCTTCGGGGCCTTGCTGGCGCCTGCGGACGGGCCCGCGGACCGGCCTGGGCCCACGGTGGTTGGAAGCGCAGGGATGGAGGCGGAAGGAAGGAGATTGGGAGGAAGAACGTGGAAACATTTGAAGATGCTTTTTGTTTATAGTAGACATATATGACACATGCTAGTTGCATGAACTGTATGGGAGTATGTGCTGCAGGGAGACTGGATGTTCTGGCTTCATGGAGTTCGTGAGTTGGTGCCCTTGACTGTGCCTTCGTGCCTTCGGTTCACGCGACCTCGGCCTCGGCGCTGTCGCGGGCAGGTGCCCCAGACCCTGCGATGCCTCAAGGAGCATCAAGTCACACGACTGGTGATTACACCCACGCTGCTGAAGGCTTGGTTGCTGGAGGCAGAGAATTTGAGCTTCGACCCTTCGTCAAGTCGGAGAAGGTGTTAAGACGTTCGAATCGAGGGAATTTGAGGAAGGATGTTTCCGCTTCAACTTCAAGCGCGCAGGGTTTCATGGGACAATCTGCGTGAGAGTCATCTGGCGGATCTTCGCAAATGCACCAGAAGGGGGCCATGTTTGTCAAGATATTGGACACCTGCAAATGCGAGTGATTCTATATTGCCAAAACCTAAAGATTCCTACATGCGTATGCCACCTTCCAGACTCAAGCATGTCAATAAACATGATCATTCTCGTCATGATGCTTTGAACAACTCTCCGTTCTTGCATGAAGCAACCACCTGGACCAGAGTGATGCAGTTCACGCCAGAGTCGCCGACTTTAGAGGGGCACCTGTTGGGCCTTCACCTGGGCCTATGTCATTGCGACATCTGTCAAGTTCCCTCAAGAAGAGGGTCTCCTTCTTCAGAGCCTTCCATCTTCACTCCGCAAAGCCGCCTCGATCTCAGGACCCGGAGCGGATCCGACCCGGTCGGATGGGTCCGTCGGATCGCGGGGCCCGTGAACGCCGGTGACCTGGCCGAACGCCGAGGATCCCTGGAGGTCTTTGAGAATGGTGAGCTGCTCTGGTGAAGTCTTTCCGCGGCACTTGCTGAAGCAGTTGGAGCAGGTCTTGCCCAGCAGCTGTCGACCCTTGGTAGCGCCAAACTTTGGCGGCCGCTATGGAGCTATCGAGAAAGGGCCTTTTGAGATCTCCAGGCTTTTTTCGTCTCAGGCCCTGTAGCACGAACATTCGCAGACCTATCCTCCGTTCAAATAGTAGAGACACTGCAAGAACCGCCCCCCTTCGAAGCACCTTTCAAGACTATCTGACCGACACAGGTGCGTCCATCTTCTTTGGGGGTTCCTTCAGGTGGGACCCCCCTTTGTTCCGGAGTGGGCCCCCTGTGACCCACCGAAAGCCAAAACCACACGTCCGAACTCCAGTTTCGCTGGCCCAAGGGAGGTTTGCCTGTCCAGTTTCGCAACTCACATCCGGTCCAAGGAGTCCTGAACATCTACGGCAGCACGGAGGTCTCGGGCGACGCGACCTGCGCTGAGCTGCCAGAGGATGACCAAGCGGCTGCGCGATGGTGGTCGCCCGAGCTGCCGTGTGGACGAGAAATCCATGGAGTTCAAGTCGAGGCCGGAGAACTGTGAAGAACTGTGACCTGAGTGGAGCATTTGTTTTGGGTGGCCCATGGCCTTCTTAGAGTCAAAGGGCCAGTGAGGTCAGAGATGGAGAGTTTCCGCAAAAGATCTGAAGATTTCATGAAAGCCAGAGGTTACTGGGTTGGGGAACAATCCTAATAATACTGTTGCTTCCAGTCCTGTTTGTTTTCTTTTATATACAGCCAATACATTTCTTTTGGCAACCGTCCGCAGTGCGAGATGAACCCTGATGGAGGTCCTGCATGTCAAGGAGGCAGGCGAGGAGCTTGAGGTCCAGCAGTGTGGAGATGGAGAGGAGCTGGACCAGTGGGATGCCCATGAGTCGATTCCGTTGGGATCCGTTGGACTTCAGGGCAGTGGGTTGGAGTTGGAGAAGTGAATCGACCTAACCCACTACCCTGTGAACAAAAAGAGTATGGATGACCCGGCAGAGAATCATAGCTGGACGATGAACACTTCCTCTACATGCGGGGCTGGTCCTTTAAAAGGGTTGTTTCTGAACCACCACCGACTAAAAACGACAACGGAGTTGTGCTGGAGCGCTTGTGGCATAGTGCCAAACCAACTAGTTGACGAACTGAACTGTGACCTTTTCTTTGGCCTTTGCTTGACCTCCGGCTTGTTCAAGCTGGGAGGGCATGTTGTTGGTTAGTAGGAGACCAATGCAGCAGCCTAGATCATCATCATCCTCTGTTCCCTTAGATAGTTCGTTGATTCATCCCAGTTCCACCACTTCAACGAGAAATCAGCTGACTGACTTTCGATCAGTGTGCTCTTTCCCACACCCACACCTGCAGCTTTCTGGGCCCAGCCTCAGCCGCCTTCCGCAGACGCTTCCGCAGGAGGGCGAAGTCTTTGTCTCCGGCGCCTGCGTCTCGTCCGGCTACTTCGAGGACCCCGTCGGCACCGCGGCGGCCTTCGGCGTCCGCGGCTTTCGCAGCGGGGATCTGGGACGCTGGGAGCGCAGCCAAAGGTCCGGACGAACGTTGATGGTGCTGGGGAGGCCGATGGAGTTTTCGGATCCTTTTTGGATCAGAAATCAAGCATGCTCCGTAACCGGTGCAAACGGGACATGTTTCTATTTAATATGGTTTTCCATGGACATTTCTATGGTTTTGGTGCTTTCATCAGCTCCTTATGGAAGGATACCTATACCAGAGTTCTTTATCATCGGTGCAAGACCGGATGCCAGGTGCAACCAGCTCGTGAAGCTTCGAGGCCAGCGCGTGGAGCTCAACAGCGTCCAGTTGGCCTTGACCTCCCTGGAACTCGCCCAGCTGGCGCAGCTGGCAGCTCCGTCGCCGGAAGGCTGCTCTCCGGAGCTGTGGGGGAGTCCGAAGCTTCTGGGCTTTTCGGGTCGACTGTCGAATCGAACCCAGCAGTGGTGGAGATGTGCGGTGAACAATAAGGCCATGGGGGGCTTTGAAGAGAGACACAGGGTCTGAAAAAACCCATCCCGACGGCTTTGGTCAACAGGTGAGTGCTCACCTGGACTACTTGCAATCCAAAGGACCCTACCGACCCTACCCTCTACATATTCCTTTTTCCGGCAAGCACCTGTCAAGAGTCAATGCTACCGTTCCCCCTTGACTCTGCTCTCTCTTCCATTTGCTCTCTCTTCGGTCGCGAAAAGCTGCCCTGTCAGCGCTTTGTTAAAGCTACATGTATATAGACCCCCTCCAAATAGATCGAAATAAGTACATGACATGAACAGTAGATCCCCAGGCCCAACTAATACAGTACTGTATTTGGACACGGTGCCACCGATCTATTTGGAGACCACTGTACTGCCTGCCCTCCGTGAGGCTCTTCGTGCCGCCCCATCTTTCGGGACGCCTGCTGCGTGGTGCACCAGTCCGCTCTGGTGGCGGCCGTGGTCTTCTCCGGCCAATGGGAGGGATGCCGCGACCTGAACGCGGTGAGGCCGAAGAGGGGGAGAAGGATGTGGGGGATCGATGGAGGCGAAGAGGGAGTCGTTCCCATCATTCCAATGCTTGATGGAACGAGACGAGACTCACTCCAGCTAATTCTTTCATGTTTCCAGCGAACATGGGGAAGGAAGACGAAGTATTGAGCGAACCCCGAAACATCAACCCAGGAAAATGCACATCTCAGCCTTGACCGACCAAAGGTGCGCAAAGGTGTTTCCCCCCCCCAAGAAAAAAGGCACAGCGGCTATGCTTCCTCCCACAGACTAGGTCCAGCTCATACAGGAATTCGGGTTTTTTGTTCGATGGAGGCGTGGCCCTGCTTCAGGCAGGTGTGCTGGCTGTATGGCGAAAGAAAGGCCAAACCGCAGCCACCTGGTTTTGAGACCAGAGCTTCTCAATGCCAACCATATATCTGAGAAGGTGTTGGGATTGGTCAGATGTGTTCTTCCACCTGGATCTGACCCTTACTGTACATCCTCTCTTCTTTTTTCAACACCTTCCCATCTCCTTCTACGAGGTCCGCTCTGGCGGAGCTCCTCCCCGCCTGCGCGGTGCCGGCCCACCTGCTGGCGCTGCCGACGCTGCCGACGCTGACGAGCGGCAAGGTGGACCGCTGCGCGGTGCTCCGGGAGGTGGAGGCGTCCGGTCGAGGTGAGGCGGACAGAGAGAGGTGATGAGAGGTGGGATGGGGCCGGAATGTCTCCCAAAAGCTTGGGGGAGATCAGACCATGGGAGACCTATCCCCGCAGCGAGGTTTTTTGTAGTCCGTCCCTGGTTTGGGGTGCAACAGGGGGGATCTTGGTGTATTGCTGCTCCAAGTGGTAGTTTAGGACATGTCGTCCACCGTAGTACACGTCGCATGCATGAAGGAACGCCGTGACCCCTCAATTGACCCCCAGTGTTTCTCACTTGGTTGGCCCCATTGGTGTGTTAACAGGAATGAACTTGTGACCAAAGATCCCCAAGTCCACCTTTCAGACAGATTCAATCATGGAAGTGATCCGTTTGGTGAGTCCTAGGTGTGCGGTCATGGTTCACTGGGACAGGATCAAAGATTGATCTTACCCAATTGGTCACTGGACGCAGCTGATTCTTGGCATTGATTCCTGGAACAGACCTTCACAGACCTCTCCCTTCACAGACCTTCACAGACCTCTCTCCACCACACAGTTCACAAGTTCCCTCACCCTCTCTCACCTGCTGCGGCGCTTTGTTGCAAGGCCATCCGGAGGTGGTGGAAGCGCTGGACGTGGTGGAAGCGCTGGTCCAGAGCGCCTGGCGTGAGGCGCTGCAGACGCTCCCGGAGGTTGATGCGACGAGGTCCTTTACGCAAGCTGGAGGAGGGGCGGGGGATGACTGGAAGATACAAAGGGGCAGGGACGCAGTGGGAGAAGGCGATCCTTGGACTTGCATGTGTCGCTTTGTAGATGCTGCCGGCTCGTGTTTGGTCGGCGCGTGTTGGTCGGCGACATACGTGAACTCAGAAGGAACTTCCGCGCACTTTGCCCTGCTCCGGCCCTGCAGAAACCTCAAAAAGTGCCCTGCTCCGGTGCTTCATCATTGCCCCTCCTCCGACAGGCGACTCAGCTCGGCTCATGCAGCTGGCCTCGCAGCTGCGGCGCCGGTGGCCGAGGGAGGCCGCGGAGCCTCCTCCCTACGACGCGGTGCTGGAGGCCGCGGAGAAATCGCGCGCGGCTCTGGTGGAGCTCTGCCAGAGATGGCGGAAGCGGAAGCGGGAGGCAGGAGGGACGGCCCGTTTGAATGAGACACTTTTGGGCATTTTCGAAACCAGTGAACTCAGGAGTTAGAATGAGTTCGATACAGTTAGATGTCGTTTTTTCATCAAAAAAAACCTCAATAATCATGCTGCAACACCAGTTCGTTCAGTTCCTTTTGACTTCGACGCGTCGCTGGGGGCCGATGCTGAAACCGCCGAGTCCGTCGACGAGCCCTTCCCGTGCAGTCCGTGGCAGGCGCTGGGGGGAGGTCGGGTTCAGCGGCTGGGTGGTTTGGTGAAACGAAAAAAGGCCTGGGGTGTTGGTCCAGTGTTCGTTGCGGAGACCAGAATCGATCTTAGTCAACTGCTAGTATGACTGGGGTAAGTGAATGAGCATCGGCTGTGCCGCCGAAGAAGAATGTCAACTCAACTCACTCATACACACTTGTCTTTACTATCTCATATACATATATGCTTGCGCCAATATTCAAGATTGTTGCATCTGCGAAAATTCCATGAGGTGAAATCCACTGATACAAAACGCACAACATACAATGGTTGTACTCATGACACTCATGATGTATATTTTTTTGGTACCTTTATATGATCCTTCTTCGCCCTCTCAACACCCGGCGGAAGTCTTTGGATGTTCTCCAAGCCAACGACACTCGTGCCCTTCTGTTTGAAGGTCGCGCCGGTTTCGGTTTCGGCGTCCGCACCGATCCAGGGCATGGAGCCGACTGCTCCGGTGGCCGCTCCAGCCGCCCCCGCTCCGGCTGCTGTGCTGCAGAAGGGCGGTCTCCTCGAAGGCGGAGACCTTGACCTCCGGAGGTGGTGCCTGAGCTGGCGAGCAGCTGCTTGGATCTGAGATGTCTTGAATTCGTTTGGTAAAGTGCTAAAGTACCCAGCGGCATATCTAGCTACATTGACACCAGACACTACCCCTCATGTAGGTATTTATGCACATGGAGCTGCTGGCGTGTTGGGACATATTTCTTCATCGAAGCAAGACCAGTGATGATGAAAGTGGAATCTGGAGGCCAACACACCAGGGTCATCTTTTGAAACAGGCTGCTTCCATTTTACAGTCTCCGATGCTCCGACATATCAGTTCCATGGCCTTCCAAACCTAAGCCTAAGGGCTCCAAAGAAGAAGCCCTCCACCACCGTGTTAACTTGGTAGTCGTTTGTCCATCTATATACAGCAATGTGTAGACTCTTGATCAATAAAGCCCCGCATATCAGGCTTTTCAATCCAAATGTTGTTTCATTTTTTGAATCAAAGAAGTCTACAGTACTCAGTAGCTGGTTGAAATGGTTGAAACACGGAGGGTTTGCATTTTCAACGCCCCCAGGACCTGCACCAGTGCGTGGATGCTCCACCACTCTTGGTTTTGGCGTCCACGAAGACTCCTCCCGTTTGGTGGCTGCAGCTTGGTGGCGGAGCCCTTCTTGTGTATTTTTTATTTTGTTGACTTTGTGTGCAACCAATGGTGAAAAGCAGGTGAAATGTATGTGTTATATATGTCACTGATTTGCTTGGAGCCAAGTCAGCCAAGTTTTTGATGACATTCGCAATATGAAGCTTTTTCCCCAGATAGCTGGAAGCTATGGGGGTTCTTACTTCTCAATGGATGGGTTCCAGATTGCGGAAATTGGCTGCCGCTGCCGCCTTGTTTCCCAAGCTTGTCTCCCTTCATGATTTGGCTGCCGCTGCCGGCTTGTCTCCCAAGCTTGTCTCCCTTCATAACTTCCCTCTTGGCTGCCGCTGCCGCCTTGTCATTTTCTTGCTTGCGTTTGACGCGGATGCTGTTATAAGATGATTTAGGTCTTGTTTACCTTTTCCATCCTGTTCCCGCTTTGAGTGGGATGTCTCCCAAGCTTGTCTCCCGCTCTTGCCATGGTGTCCAACTTTTCTTGAAGTGCTATCTGGGGTCTATGCCGGTATAATTTTCTTCAGAATCCATTAGGCCTTGCCATGGGAGAATGATGATCTGTGAGAAAGGTGACAGGAGAAAGGGAGACAGGTGCCACAACCCACACTCGCAAACTATCGCACCCCGTTGCAATTTTTGTAAAACACTTTCAGTTGAAGTGGATGCGCATTCTGAAGTTTGAGCTGTACAATCCTATACCATATTCCATTTGGAACAGAGTGCGACACACGCACACACATCAGACACGTCTCCTGACACGAGGCTCATTGGATCTCACTCCCAAGAGTTGGGATGCTTTGTGGCAGCAACTGGGATTGCTTACTCATGCCATGACAGTCTTTTACATATATATATATAAATAACAGTATACTTATAAGTCAGTTTTACTGTTGTCAGTCTTAGTTGGGATGCTTTTATTTTATTACAGCTATAACAGTTATAAAAGTTATATGTCAACAATTGCTTGATGTCTTTGCATACTGTAATGATGATAAGTAACACACACACATATAGATATATGTATACATATATAAACATATACATGTGCCAAAGGGGGTTCGGCTTCTTGTTGTTGATCCTTTTGGACGTGAAGAGCTCAACTACACCTCTTGTTACTTGCGTGGCGAGGGGCCATGGCCAAAGGAGTTTTGGTTCTTACTTGTCTCTATGAGAGTGGCTTGTTGGGGTTTCCACTATATAGTTGCCACGCCAATACACCCACCAAGACTGCCTGGATCCAAGGACACCGGAGAGGAGCGCTGGCGCCTTCGCTTGAGCGATCGCATCGAAGGCGGTTGCACCGTCGGATCCACCGGCAGGGGAAGGCATCGGGTCTTCGTGGGATGCAACTTGGATGCAGAGATGTCGGGGGGCAGAGCCTGGCAGAGCAGCAATTACGACTGATGTGACGACTGAATGTGTTTCTGGTGGTAGGCCATGGAGTCGATGATTCATCTCACACGCCCTGCACCGCTTTAGCAAACTCGCTCGCTCCTCTTGATGTGTGGTGTCAGATGAATCGTGCCTGGGCCTCTTGACCTCACAAACTAATGATAGTTGGAGCCCCCTCCTTCAGCAGTTACCACTTGCTCGTCACTACCACCCCAGCAATTCGATCAACGAATCCCTACTTGGCTGTCATCAGGCATACTCTTAGACCTCCTTACTAAACCACCAAAGGCGAAACCCTTTGCAAAGGACCAAGCTGGACGGCCCACCCCGGGCCCACTCCTTCGACAGATCCGAGAAACTGCCCTCAACCAACGGGCTCCAGGTTACGACGGACAACTCCATTGCTTCGACCTGGAGTTTGGCAATCTCCTCTGGAGCTCCTTCGTGGCGCACCAGGAGAGGTGGCCAACCTTTGTTTTCCACTTGCATGACAGGTGACTCAGCGGTGGCTCAGCGGTGGCAGGTGTTGGATTTGGGGACGATCGTCTGAGTTCTTCAAGATCAGCGGGATTTGCGAGGTTTCTTGAGCGGTCTTACTGTTGCTGCAGTTTTGTGATTGTGGATTTAGACGAGCAGGGAAGTGGGAAATGGTGTCTCAAGCCAGGTGTTTCCTTGTGTGGGTTGACGATTCGGTAGGTAGGAACACGTGGGATGCCAGCACCGCACCGCGCGTGGGGTTTACGGACGATTTGAGGTGGTGTGGCTTGGATTTCTTCATTAGGATTCTTATTTTTCTGAGTCTTAGAGCTTGGATGGCAAAGAGGCAGCCGTTCGACTTACTTCCATTGCTTGCCGGGAAACAAGGCCAGTTGATGGATTTCGTCAATGTAGGCTACTTGAGGCTTTGAGGATCCACCCTTACAAAGAGCTGATACGCTTGGTTGCAATGCTCCTAACTAACATCGTTTGAGGAGGGTCAAAAGACTATTTTCCCCTTCTCTGTGGGGGCTACGTTGGTCTGGGAGGATCTATGTGCTCTATTGGTTTGTCACTTTCTTGATGTTAATCCTCAATCACAGCCTCCAAACGCAAGGGGGAAACCTGTCTTTCTAAGATTCACACCCTTTGATGTAGATTTCCCAACTCCTCACAGCTCTACAAACTCCCAACATGTTGATTTTTCACTTGATGCGTTGACATTCCCAGTCACAGGCAACACCTCCCGATGTCGTCCAATCTAGAATCAATATCCAGGACCAACCCAGATCCAAGCTCCTTCCTCCCTCCCTTCCTTCCTCCTCCTTCGGCAGGACGAAGACCGCGAGATCAAACATGCCCCGGCCCTGCTCGGAGCACGGACCGTCCTCGTGGGCACCCACGGCGGTCGCCTCACGGCGCTGGACGCGGAGGACGGAGCGCGCCAGTGGAGCCTGACGATGCCGGGCGCGGTCTTTGCAGCGCCGGTGGTGGAGGGCTGGAGCTTGTGACTCAGATGGATCAGGTGGATGGAAGCGCGAGTAACTGGAGGGGGGGTGCAGGGATGGTGGTGGGATGGTGGTGGGAGGTGCAGGGATGTGCGAGACATGGTGGCAAAGATGCGGGTGAGCTGTTGGGTGTGGTGAGCTTTGGGGGGGCAAAGATGCCGGGGAGATGTCAAACTGCGTTTTGATTGCCATTCACTCAGTTGAGTCCATCGAAGTCTTCAAGTTGGGATCGTGACCTTCTGCAAGTGTTGGTACCATACCACAAAAGGGCGGGTGTTAATTCAGCTATAGGCAATTTTTAGCCGGTCAAACTCCGACAAGCGATTTCTCTCAGACAAAAAAGCTGCTTCACCTATCGGTTTCTGAACACTTGAAGGTGACCTATCGGTGACCAGTCGTGACCTAGTGATGGTTCTGAAGTGTGACGGTTCAAGTTGTGATGCAACAGATTTTCGGGAATGACAATCTCATGACGGAGGAGAAAGAACAGGTCAAGGCTCCTGAATTACCAAGGCCCCAAGAAATTCTAAAGGTGCCAGAAAGAAAGAGGATATTTTGAGATATTTTGCCACTTTCGCCATCCGTGGTGTAGCCACCTAGCTGCTTGGGCGCATGCGATTGATCTTCGTTTCCTGGTCGCTGAGGTATGTAGCCACCACCTCTGGGCAGTCCTTGACGAAGTTCCGGTGTCCGTCAGTGCTTCGACAGATCGGTAGAAGGTGGGTGGAAGCCGGTGGAAGGTGGGTGGAAGGAGTAGTGGTGGAAGACCTGGGGAGCCAACTTCAAGCAACTCAACCTTTTGCTCTTGCGCACCTCTAACTACTCAAGAACTATACTTTATACTCATTGGTGCAACGTCGCCGAATTCGTCCCATCATCCTGGCCTATCATATTCGCCGAAACTCGTCGAATTCGGCCGTTTCAGCTTGGAGAACGCAACTGGTCCTTCTCGTCAGCGACCAGCCACTGATCCGAGACGGGCAGATGTTCGGAGCCTGTGCGGCGGAAGGTGCCTTCTTTCAGTAGGAACTGAGTAGGACATACGTAAGTCGTTTCCCAGTTTTGTTCCAACCATTCAACAGGGCCTAGAACTGCTGAGAATACTTGATCACGCCTAGTTTCCTGCAGCGCTGGGGAGAGCAAATGCAAAACAAATATTCCATGATGTCATGATAACTGATAGTCAATCGCTTCAATTTCTTCACATATTTCAGGTTATTCTCCACTACCACCCCCATCTGATGTCGTCCCCCCTGTCTTCCGCTCCGCTCCGTCTCCGCTCCTGGTCTCCTTCAAGGACCTCTCCGCTCCACCGCGCGCGTGGGCGCGGCGCCTGTCGGCGCCCCTCTTCGCCACGCCGGTCGTGCTGAGCGGCGCGGGCGCGCTGCTGGTGGCCTCGGTGGACGGCGTGGTGCGGAAGCTGGCGGAGTCCGATGGGTCGGAGCGCTGGAGCGTGCAGCTGGATGGGCACACCTTTGCGGCTCCATGCGTCTCAGGGTGAGTCTGTGGGTGTTGGGTTGGGGTTGGGGTGTCTGTGGGTGTTTTTTGATTTTTGGAAGAGAGAGAGAGAGGGTGGTTTTCTTCGTGGGATTAAAAAGGAGAAGTAAGTGAGGGTGTCGGGTTGAATCGGAGATGAGCCAAGAGTGTTGTTTTTGGTCCGTGACCGTTGGATACGGTGGGAATTGCGCTGGGTTGAGCGCTTTTCGCATTGCGTTTGGGTTATAGATTCTTTTTCTCATTGCCAATCCGGCCGTGACTGACTCGAGTCCGCCCCGTTCCGCGCTTCGGTCCGCTCCGTGCCCCGAACGGCGTGGGTGCCCGGCGCCTGCAGGCCCTGTGCGGCCATCGGCACCCATGGCGGCTCCGTCTTTGGGCTGTCGCTGCACCGGGGCGACGTGCTGTGGAAAGCTCAGCTGGGCGATGTGGTCGCTGGGACTGAGCGAGGGAGTGAGGGAGTGGGAGGGAGGGTCGGGGGGGCGCGAACTGCGGTGGGTAAGATGAATGTCTCAAAAACCGCAAAGTGCACCCTTTTTGTTCCGATCACATGCCAGGTTCGTGGAAAAGCCGAAAACAAAGCCTAGGGTGGAACTTCATAGGTGGTGCTGCTGGTCGTTGCTCCTTCTTCCCGGTCTCCAAGATCGCACTTATTTTCAATCTGATGAAGAAAGGCAGAGTAAAATGGGATGGTCCCACTGTCCGAGGTGGGAGTTTCCAAGGGAATTGCAGATGAAGAGGCTCAATAGCCTTGTGCGCGAACCCCCAAGGCTTTTTTTTGATTCAAGGTGCATTTTCTGTGTGGGTCCACGCTGCTTTTTTAGCGCTCACTGAGCTCGCCTTCGAAGAACGTTTGGCATTCCCCCTCACGAAGAAATAAGACTCTTCTGTTCCCCTTTGCCGTTCAAGTGGCGCAAAAGGCATGAAACTCCATCCAGCTGGCTCTTCATGCTGCCGATGTCTGCAGGTCTATGGCACTCCCTTCGCGCTGGGATCTTCCACCTTCTGCGTGGTGACGCGCAAGGGCCGACTATGCTTCCTGGAGGGCCAGGAGGTCGGCGATCCTCGTCGCAGACGATCGGGTCATTTCAGCTTTTGGATGCGTTTCACGAAGCAGAGACCGGTGCTTTCGACCGGTGGATGGTGGATGAATAAACACAAAGGGGAGACCTGAGGGACTAAAAATTCAACAGTCGAGTCTGCGAAGCGCCCAGTCGTGGGACGGAATGCACGCCCATTTTTTGTCTAGTCTTGCAACAGCCTTGCACCTCAATAAACCTACGTTACTTGTTCGCTTGATGTTTGGTCGGCACGTGGTAGTGACTTCCAAGAAGATAGCACGGTAGTATCGCTAGTGCTGCTTAAAATTTGCTGCTCTTACTGGTATCTAATGAGATCTAATGAGTCTTTAAAGATTCCCTTGGCTGTTGTGTCCCATAATGCCCTTGACCAGGTCTGGGAGGCAGCGCAACTGGAAGGGGAGGTGTTTTCTTCGCCGGTGGCCTGGAATGCCACCGAGAACACAGCGACAGGCCGTGGTGTGAATCTGCGTGTGGCGGTAGGGTGTAGGGACAATCACGTCTACTGCTATCACTGCGAAAAAGGAGGAGCTGCTACTGCCAAGCTTGGAATGCGCGGCCTTCTTCCCCTCGAAGATTGGCCAAGTTTGATAGTTCTGGTGACAATTGAACTACTGTAGGTATTAGGTACTTCAAGTCTTGCCGGTAGATCGTGTATGATTTTCAGGAGGAACCACCCATGGAATGGGGATGCACAGCACAAGCTGCATGCTGAGCCAGGTCTGTAAAGCAGTGCCCTCTGTATCCTGATGAACGGCATATGAATATAGCCAGAGGCCAGAGGCTTTCCACTTCAGCTAACGCACAAAGATACAAACACGCAGACCAATTGGATAGGGATCCAGATCAGACGAAGAACTTGGGAAGCTGTCCTTGCCCCTCTCGCCCCTGGACTGAAATCATGGTCATTTGTCAACAGATTCATCAGAAAATGATTTCATCCGGACAAATTTCAGTGCCAAGACAGCAATTTGCATTCCTGATGTCATCATGAACATGTGGGCTGGCAACCCTGCAGTTGAATTGAAGTAAGAACTCCTGCATCCAGAGGTTGACCATTTCCCGTCTCAGGTGACGTGGGATTTCTTCCTTCAACATTCAACAGTAGGTTCAATGGTCGAACTTGCAGAGGACATGATCTTGGATTTCAAGTACTCCTCATCTGCCAGCGAGCTGCCTGGTCCTTGGTGAAGCAGCGGCTGTTGAATGCAGAGCTTTGTTTCGACTCCAGTAAAGGGATACTCCAAGTGGCTTGGAGAGGTGTTTTGAAAAAAGCTTGGAGAGTTGTTTTGGTAGGCTGAGCCCAGGGGATAAGGTGAGAGATGGTGAGAGCATGCTCCCAAGTCAGGTTTTGAATGGTTTGTATCTCACTGATTGGCATGCCAGTCTGAGCAAACAACACATCAAAAGAACGACCGCTGTTGCAGCAAGAAGCACAGGTCTCTTGGTGACACCATAGCAAAAGGTACATAGCAATGAGCGCAAAAACAACTTAACAAAACCGAGAAGAACACATCTACTTGAATGTCGAGCCGGCCAGCGCCATGAATGGATCCCGCCCTTGCACGTGGTTTCAAGTAGGACAATGCAGAAATGGTGATACCTGTCCATTTGAACATGTCCTTTCGAGCAGTAAGCCAACGATCTCAGTTCCATGTCGATATGGTGCCAGTTGCACTCGCGCGGATTGCATTTTTGGACATCCACCAGGTACTGAGAAGATCCACAACCTACCTGCTCTACCAGAAGAACGCATCTGTGTTTGGTTCCAGAAGGGAAAATGCAAGAATGGGACAAAGTGTCAGTTTATGCACGTGCGGCAAGAACGCGATGGAAATGTTGTAGTGGTTCGAAACTTGGCAAAGTCCACTGATCCTGAAGTACTGGAAACCGAACTCTTGCAGCACTTCAAGACATACGGGTACGTGACTCGCATTCAGGTGAAGACAGATTTAAACAATCGATGCCGAGGATTTGCTTTTGTTGTTTTTGCAGATGCAAACTCCGCACTGGAGGCATTGAAATGCCCGCACCCATTTTGGAATATCAAACTCAAGTCCGATTTGCCAATGTACATTGAGGGTGAGACAAGGCCAAGCAGGAAAACCCATTCGCAGGATCGTGTGTCTTCTCCAGCCCGGCTAGCATTTACGAGAAATCAGACGGTGCTGCTTATTGGTGAAGGTGATTTTAGTTTTGCAGCAGCTTCGGTGGCGATGGGGTGCCTAGATCCATCAAACACGCTTGCCACATCAGTGGAACCTCCACGTTGCACAAAGCATCTGGAGTACCTGTATGCCAAGGGCATGGAGTGCCGAACAGATGTAGATGCAACATCGTTGACATTCACAGAATCATATGATGTCGTGGTGTTCAATTTTCCACACACCGGTGAGCCTAGCATCGAAGCTAACGTCACCTTGCTGAAGAGATTCTTTCGAAGCGCGGTGGATTTGCTGCTTCCGGGTGGCATTGTGGCCGTGTCTTTGAAGCAGACCTGGCCATATTCGGAGTGGAATCTGGAAGGTTGTGCAGCAATGGCCGGCTTGCAAAAGGGGGCGGCATATCTTTTCCCTGCAGAGACGCTTCTGCGACATGGCTACACGCATACGACCACCGATGATATTCCCCACGAAGTGGAGCATCTCGAAGGTGCAAAGACTGTGGAGTTCATCAGAGCCAAGGACTAACCATGGAACCATTTGGCAAATTCATGCAAATTCATGCAAAGTCTAATTTGTGTATCATTGTGTCGCCTCAGCTCTCCCGGCCTGCTGGTGAAAGGTTCGCTTCAAAGGGTGGATGGAGTGGCTCCCTGCGGGCTTCATTTGGTACGTCACCACCACCTTGCCCGCAACCCCTCACAACGCATCGCACGCTCTTCCGCTCTTCCGCTTCTGTTGCGCCGGAGAAGGCGTGCTTCGTTGCCACGCGCTTCGCCATGTTTCGTCCGGTCGTCGTGAGTTTCATGCCCCTCGTCGTCTGCCTGGGCCGTTTCACGCCCCCTTCGTCTCTGAGGTGCCGCATGTCAGTGAGCTATGACGGCGCTGAGGGGGAGGTCACCTTGGAGGCCCCTCTTGAGTTGCGGCCAACAGCGGCCGGAGCACACGACGACAGCTCGAAACGAAGCTTCCGCTCGCTCCGCTTGGGTGTGGCCTGATTGTGAATGCATTCGGATTCACCCGTTGTTTTGGATCCCAAAGATCAGCGATCAACATCAGCTGGCCGATCGCCGATCATTTAGGGTTCCCTTGATGGTTGCCAAGCAGCTTCCTGCAACAGGTCATCACCCCATGGATCGACCTCGACCTCCAAATCATCGACCTCACTTTGGAACCCAACTCCTGGCACTCCGCAAACCTTGCCCACCATCATCCACAGACCTCCAAGCAATGCAGATGTAACTCTAGTAGTAGCTTGTGTAGCTTAAGTCTAGTACAAAATAATTGGTGTAAGTATATAGCTACGGTACAATGAGTAGTACCAGAGTCTAGTACAATCTAAGCTACTGTAGTCTAGTACTATAGCACAGTGATTTCCAGGAACTGACCTACAATGAATCTCCTGCGCACAAGGAGACGTCGTCGCTGCCGGGTCTGGACCCGCCCGACGCGGACGGTACATATCAGTTCGGAAGCCCTGGTGGGGGAACCTTGAGGGGGGTGATCGGCGGAACCCGTACCGTTCGTGGATGTTTCGTTTGAATTGATTGTATAAGGCGTACCCGCCCAAGATTTGGATGGCTTTTTATACAACATGAAGACCATGTTTTGCGTCATTCTGTTGCAAACTGGGCCTATTGGAGACTGCAAACTGGTTTGCTTCCTGCCGGCAGTTTGGTGCGTTCGTTCTCTCTAGGAAACCTTTCATCAGCATGTGCCGCTCAACCCCGATCTCCTTTAGGAACCCAGAAAGAACAGACCCCAGAGAATTCTCAGTGACAGCTTTGCCCGCCACCCCAATCACCCCAGGCACATCAACCGTTCCTAGTATATATAACAAAGAGCCAGAAACAGAAACGGGAGTCCGAAAACATCAGTTTTCCTCAGAGAAGCGCGTTGGGTTTCCGGGCCTTCGCCGCAGGAGCCTTCGCCTGGAGACCTTTGAAGTGATCCAGAAGATTTTGGGCCTGGAGGCGCAACGGAGAGTTGTTCCAAGTGGATGGGCGTCTTGTTCCTGTCTGAAAGGAGGACGAGGGGCTTGTGATCGGGATCGGGATTGGTCGTTGAAGGGCCACGGTCGGTCGGGCGCTCTAAGGGATCGAGATCCCAGCATTCCTTTGAGTCGCATTTTGGTACATAGGGCCATCTTCAATTCCAGAGTTTTTGAAGGTAGTTCTCTAACTCAGATGGTGAAAGCAAAGAGGACTAAGGCAGTCCTAATTGCGGTTGGCCGCCAATTCCAGTCGCTTTGATGAGTGCCACAAGCCTGAACGAGACATGTCAGAACAACAGCTAGTCAAAAGAATCAACATCCAGTTGCCCTTTGTATTTTTGAGAGATGGCTAGGTAGGTGTCAGAAGCGGCATAGTCTGAAAGTCTCTTTTAGCTATAGTTTTGCCACGCCTCCGAAACACATGATAACTCTTCTCTCCAGCCAGTATCAAGAGATTGGAGTTGGACCAGTGGTCTTATTTCATTCTCTACACTTTGGACATTGAAGACTCGAGAGCTCCAGCACACAACCTCCCCGGACAAGAGGCACACTTTTTGCATGTTCTTCTGTTTTTTTCCAATCCAAGTGGTGGAACTCCTCGGGCTTAGGATACAAAAAGCGGAGGTTCCCGTTCACCGCTGCCTTGGCACTGCATACAATCGGCTCCCAGCCGTCCCAGAGCCAGCCACACGGACGATCCCCAGCTTTACCGACCCGCAGGCCCTGGCGGATGCACAACGAGAGGCGTGTGGGAGGATCCAACGATGCGAGCCGCGTGGTGCTCGGGTGACAGGGGGCCCTGGCCTGGCTTTGAGCCCGGAGTGAGCGCTTGAGAGCGCTGGGTCCCTTGAGAGCGCTGGTCAGCGTCATGGGGTGAGCTTAATTGGTGCTTGGTGACCATGACAGTCCACACGAAAAGTCTCAACCTGCAGGCCTGCAGGTCAGCCGCTCGCAGTCCAGGTTCGGTTCTTGGGTGGGGACGGGTCATTTATAAGTTCTTATCAAGGTTCTTTCCAGTGGGTTTGCGTCAGCTTTGCCAGGCAGTCTTTTTGTGGGTCCCATGAACACCGGTTTCTGAACCCCTGGGGATGTGGTGAAAGGCACCCTAAAAGACTACGACCAGTTGTTCGAGCCTGGCGATCCTACTTGTGGTTTCACCGGTGGATCAGGTTCACCCAGGAACACCGACCACGCATGGGGCCCGGGCGTTTAGACTTGCTATAGCTCAGTGACTGGGTGAGTTTCAACATGTGACTGAGCTGCAGGTGGAGCACTTCATCGAGCGGTTGAAGGAAGCCAAAGCAGGCGGATCGCTGTTCGAGAACGTAGGGCCACTTCGGGTCGGGCATCGGTGTCTAGCGGCAAGGGGACTCGTTCCATGAGAATGTATCGGCTTGGGTTTTCTGTTGGTGACACTGAGAGCAAAAAACGATACAACAACCTCTGGGATAGAAGTTGGAGGTTTCATCCTTTCCCTGAAACTCCATTGATCCACATTGATCCGTTGCGGATTTCTTTGTCCACGTCTGGGTGTTGGACATGCTTCTTTCACTGATTTGGGGCCCACTTCATGCCCAAACCACCACGACCCAGGGACTTCGAACTCCGCCTTCACTCACTCACTCCGCCTTGGCCTTCTCCACGCCGGACGACGACGCTCAGCGCACCGCTGCTCCGAGCTCCACCGGACGCCGTGAGGCTCCGACGACGCGCGGCTGGATGGACTCCTGGAGGATGTGCGGGGCGCCCATCGACGGAGCCGCGACGCCGGAGGACGTTGGACGGGAACCCGTCCGCTGACATTCCCGGCGATGGATGGAGATGGGGGTTTCGGTTCGGACGCGACGAGGGTGCATGTATGATAGATGTTTTTGGGTGTTAGACTTGATTTGGAGGGTATATGTTTGAGTTATCTATTTTATATTTGATTTGGTATTGCTATGTTTCCCTGTGGTGGGCTCTGGCCTTGGATTTGGTGACTTGTGGCTTTGTGCTTGGCTTTTAGGCTTTGACATTGGCATTCCAAAGAGAAATCAACCTATATAATTGAATAGGAATCTAAAAGGAAATTGGAAAAAAATTACAAAAGATCAAGCTGTTCATTTTCCATTTGTCATCGTCTTGGACCTCCTGGATGTGGAACCCTTGGGGCCTTTGTAGGGGCGGCACGGTCCAGACCGGGGACAACCACCAAACGCTCGAGACACCGACACGGAGGTACCCAAAGCAACCAACCAACCAAGCAGAAGCCCCAAACCAACTCGCGAATCGGTGCAGTCCGCTCTTCCATCTAAGTGGAGCTGTTTCGGGAAGGCTCTGCAGCGGAGCGCGCTTTAATGGCCTATGCAGCCCCGCCCGGCCCAGCCCCGAAGTCGGAGACCTGCGCGTCTTCCACTCCCACCGGGTCCTCCACCACGTCCTCCGCCGGTGAACGGAACCGGTCGTCGTCGTCCTCGGTCCCCGGGATCAGGTGCAAGGTCAGGTGAGCGAGGCCGTGTCCCGTGAGGCGTCGGTGGGACCGGGAGAACGAGCGTCGGTGGGGGTGGGAGGGTTAGGTCGGTTGGGGAGGTTGACCGTTGCATGGTTTCGATCATGCTCAATACATGGTGGAGATTGCCATGATTTTGGGGAGGTTCATCATAGCCAGCCTAGGCCAAGTGTGCTGAAGCGCTGCTGGTGAAAGATTCAGCTCCCCAAGACCCCCAAGCAAGCAATGAACTGACCTAGGAACGCTTTTGCCTTGCAAGGCATTGACGGAGGCTACTAGCATGAAGCTTTGGTCTTTTCCCGGTTCGTTGAGGCAGATTTTCAGCCACCTCCCCGGCCAGGACTGGTACAGGCTGGAGCCTTGTGCACAGGGGCTGGCTCGGCCTTTTGAAGAATGCTGTTGCTGGACAACCACACCAAGCCAATCCAGTGGAAAAACACGGTAGACTTCGCAGGCTTCTTATACTTTTGAGCTCCAGGATATAGCTCAATGGAAGCAATAAGCATGAATCTCTTGAGGTTGATACGGGGTTGATATGAGGTCCCAGGGATACGGGTCGGAGCAACCTTTGGCCACCTCCGAAGCGGAGGTGCTCCCAGGGGCTCATCGTCCCACGGGCGCATCGCGGACGACACCGAGCATGATCGCGATGGAATCGTCATCCCGACCTGGATCTACTTGAACATCAAGCCATGGTTAGGGGCAGTGAGTGTTTTCACCGCCTCTTTGTAAACAGATCAACATGGTCATCCAAGTCTTCGGGGCCATCCACTTTACCAAAACTAGCCCTCATTGAGTTCGACCTCATGAGAGACATATCCCAGCCATCTGGGACTACTGGAGTCTTTGGAAGCGGGGGGTCGCGCTTCCGGGCTCTTCACGGGTCCCACCCAAGTCGTCAGGTCGTCAAGTTGGATCTCGTGCATCTTGCCAGCGTCAATGGTTCTTCTAGAGCCATTCTAGTTGATGTTAGGTTGTTTACACTGTTATTTTGGATAGAACGCATGTTGAAGAATTCATGATTACAAATTGAGATTAATATAGATT